AGAGTTGTGTGAAGTCCAAGCGGCAGATAATTTAATTAAGATCCGATAAAGGACTAAATTATCCTTTTAAAGAAGTCCCTTTATAATTTAAAATAAGTTTCTTACTTTTAATAATAAAAAAGTTTTAACTATAGTTAAATCCTTTAAATTTAAACTATTAATTTTTAATATAATTATATATTTTTTTTTAAAATTTATTATATTTATTATTAATTATATTAATAATTATTTATTTATTAGCCCCGAGCCTTTTAAGCTTTAAGCTTTTAAAAAAGCTATAAATAAATATTATAATATTAAAGATCTCGGCTTAGTTCGTTACTTCCTTAATATTTAAATTAAATGTAATAAGTTTTAACAGCGACTTTAAATTTATTAAAAGGTTTATATTAGCGAAGCTGCTAATTACTTTAATGTTAATACTAAATTAATTACTTTTTTATTAAGTCTAAGCTTTACAGGAAATAATAATAGTTCTCGATCTCTTATAACGCTAGCCGAGAAATATTTATATTAATAATTAATAGATATAGCGATATATGTTATAGTCTAAATAAAACCTAATATAGCTTTTAATATTTAATAGCTTTCTTAATACTTTTAAGCTCCTACTATAATATACTTTAAGGTAGCTAAATTACTTATTTCTTACTTACTTTCTATAATAAATTTAGTTATTAATTACGGTTCGAACCGAAACCTAGTACCTATTAAGTTTATTAATAGTAACTAAATAAGGTATAATAATAATATTAAATCCACCTTTAATTAGCTATTTATTTTTACCGGAGAATTTATTAATTAAAAGTCTAAAAAGACTTTTATTATTTTTTATAGTACTCTCGAGGCCGAATTTATAGTATTTATTAAAGGAGTGAAGGAAACTATATAAATTAGGGGATTATTTTAAGAGATTAATAGATCTATTTAATTACTTACCCCTTTACTATATAATAACGAAGGTGCTATTAAAACGGTATATAATATTAAATACTATTACCGAATAAAGTATATATTTATTAAGTTGTATAGAATTAAGGAAGTAGTAGCTACTAAAATAATAATTATTACTTACTT